AATAATAATACTAATAATAATACTAAGAATAATAATAATAGTAATAATAATAATACCAATAATAAAAATGATAATAATAATGATAATAGTAATAATAATAATACGAATACTAATAATACTAATAATACTAAGAAGAAGAAGAATATGCAGAAGCAGACGAAGAAGAAGAAGACGTAGAAGAAGAAAAAGAATAGGAGGAGGGGTGAGGAGGAGGAGGAGAGGAGGAGGAAAGAGGGGGAGGGGGGAGGAGGAGGCGGAGGGGGAGGAGAAAGGAGGTGGACGAGGAGGAGGAGGACGAGGAGGAGGAGGACGAGACGTGGACGAGGACCGTGATCGAAGAGGTGGAGGGGAGGGGAGGTCGGAAGGAGGTGGGGAGGAGGAGGAGGAGGAGGAGGAGGGGGAGGAGGAGAGGAGGAGGAGGAGGAAGGAGGAGAGGAGGCGGAGGAGGAGGAGGAGGAGAGGAGGAGGAGGGAGAGGAGGAGGGAGAGGAGGAGGAGGAAGGGGGGGTGAGGAGGAGGCGGCAGAGTTTAGAGTAGGTGGAGGAGGAGGGGGAGGCGGAGGAGGAGGAGGTGGGCGGAGCGAGAGGAGGAGGAGGAGGAGGGGGAGGAGGAGGGGGAGGAGGAGGAGGAGGGGGAGCAGGAGGATTAGGAGGAGGAGGAGTACGAGGGGGAGGGGTAGGAGGAGAACGGGCAGATCGGGCGGGTAGACCCGAGCGGGCGGGTCGAGCAGGCGAGCCTGGGCGGCCAGCTCGAGCAGGCGGGTTGCTGAAGCGTGCGTCCTGCGCGAGTCGCGAGGAAGTTTCGAGCGACACCGTTAAGTCGGGCCTGTCCCTCTACGTGAGGAATATTCAAAAATAGCCAACACATAGTACGGGAAGGTTTTTGTTTGACCACGCTTGCCCATTTGGGGGGGGTTATGTTTCGATTATCTTTTATTTGTCGATCAACATCCCCCTGTAGGGGGACACGCCCGACGTAACGACATCGCGATTCCCAAACAGATCGCGGACATCCACAGCGAGAGCGTGATTCCTGAGTGTCGAGGGCTCTGCGCTGGAAATACATCGCGAGGAGGGCCCACGCGAGAGCGCGATTTCTGCATCCACTGTGAGGATGTCCCGTGCGAGAGTTCGACGACGGAATACACTGCGAGGAAGTGTCCGGCGGGAGCCGCTGTTGATGTAAACTGGTAACTAGGGGCCAACAGCCCAGTTTGGTGACACTTCGTTTTCCCACGTGAAAGACCTGGTACGAGCCCCAGGGGGGCATGTTTCATGGGAAAATGCAGCGGCTACCAGGGAGTGGGGGGTCAACAGCAATTGTTCTTTAGAAGTGAGAGTGCAGCAACAGCAATAATAAACACAAGCACACCAACAACAACGGCAACAACACCGTCAACAACAACAGCAACAACAACAGTTACAACACCACCACTAACAATAACAACAACAACAACAACAACACCACCAACAACAACAACACCAACAACAACAACAACAGCAGCAGCAGCAGCACCAGCAACGAGACCACCACCAACGACGACAACAACAACTCCACCAACAACAACCACAACACCAACAGCAGCAGCAACAAAAGCAGCAGCAGCAGCGGCAACAGCAACTACGACGACGACGACATCAACAGTCCGCACCACGGAAGCCCATTTCGGCCACGCACCCAGGGACAGTGAATGCCCGTTCGGCCCCCTCACTCATTTCCAGCACCCTCCTTTGGGCTGCCCCCTCCTTCTTGCCGCGCCGCCTGTGGTCATTTTCTCGTCCGCGCGCGTGCCCCGTCACATACACTTACAGCGGGCCCGTCCCTCTACAGGAGGAACCTTCAAACATAGCAACCCAATACTACGGGGACGATTGCTTGACTCTGTTTCGACTACGTGGGGTGTTCTTCGAGTTTTTGTTGTAAGTTTATGTTTCGTCCAAAATCCGCCTGTATGGGGCTTAGTAGGCCCTGGAAACGACAGGGCCTTTTTTTTCGAGGTTCCGTTTTGTTGTTTGTTTGCCGGTTCCGACGACGTTTTTTTACCGGTTCCGTCGACGTTTTTTGACTGGTTCCGGCTCCGGCTCCGGTTCCAATCCTGGAGCCGTTTTTTGCCGTTTCCAGTCGCCATTTTTTGCCGTTTCCATTTTCAAGGGACATGTTTTTAGAACCGGTGAAAAAACGGCCCTGCCGTTTCCGGGGCCCACAAAGCCCCAGGGCTCATTTCGATCCCTCCGATCCGATTCGGTTCGGTCTCGGTGGCTTCCGATTCGTCTTCGAGTCGACTTGTGGATTCTGGTGCGGGCTTCGATGCCTCGCCGGAGGCCTACTGGCCTGCCGATGTCTGCCGACTCGAGTTTTTTTCCCGACGCGGCTGCCGATATCCGTCGACTTGCTTCATTCCGATCGCCGATCCAGCTCATCGATTCGATTCTGGGCTCTCGTGCCCCCCCCGGCCGAGCCACCCACCCAGACCCCCGCCAGTGGGGACCCAGCGCCCCGTGGGGCCCGCTGCCGCGGGCGCCCCGAGGCCATCACGGAGGCCGTCGCCGACTGCCCCTTCTGCGTCACGGTCGCCGATCCGGGCGAGGAAGACTGCCCGCTGGTGGCCGTCTCGGACGAGTTCCTGCGCATCACAGGCGCCGCCGGAGGTTACCAGCCTCGAACTTACCCCTATCCCTAAGATTGACACGCCAAAAGGCGATGACAGTCTTAGGGATGCGCCCTCAAAAAATAAGGGAATCCCAGAGATTGGCATCGCGACGAGGAGATGCCCAGCATAGGGATGTGGACATGTTCCAGGCTGGTGAGGAGGGTCCTCGGAGCAGGGAGAGGTGCCCGTGCCTCTGCCTTCCTCGCTTTCCCCTCTCTGGGCCTCCTGAAAGAGGCCCTCGTCGCCACCGCTGGCTTCGCCTCGAAGTCCCGGGAGATGCGCCCTCTCCTCCTCCTCCTCCTCCCGCTCCTCCTCGTCCTCCTCCTCCTCCTCCCGCTCCTCCTCGTCCTCCTCCTCCTCCTCCTCCTCCTCCTCCGCCTCCGCCTTCTCCACCTCCTCCTCCTCCTCCTCCTCCACCTCCTCCTCCTTCAGAAAGCGCCCAGGGAGAGGTCAGGGGAGAAGCGGCATCGGTACCTTTTGGTTTCCCCGGGTCCTCTTCGGCTCGCTCGGTGCGGGCCGACCGACATGGGTACGTAAAGAACGGGTACGAATACCAACAGCAGCTCTTGTTCATTTTGAACAGGGTTCGCGGTCGGCGTCGCCGCGGAGTGTGTCCATTTGAGACAGAAGGCCGCCTCCCAAACAGCGGCCGCTGCTGGTTCGGGACAACATTTGCAGTTGGGCATTTCGGGCGTCCCAAGGCTCGCTCGGTACGGGCCGCTGTCTACGGGCCAGCCCCATGGCCGCGTCTCCTCCCGGCTCGATCCCCGACTGCGCCGGGGCGTCCCGAGAGGCGGGCCCCCGTGCAGGGTCCAGCCCGACCCGCTCGATCCGAGTCGATGGCGGTCTCGGCCAGCTCGACTGACGGGCCTGTCTTCCACCATTATCACCATCAGTTGGAGCGGGAGGAGGTCCTCCTCCTCCTCCTCCTCCTCTTCCTCCTCTTCCTCTTCGTCCTCCACCTCCTTCCCCCTCCAGCTTCTTATGGTGGTGGTGGTGGCGGAAGGCAGGCCCATCAGAGTCGATGGCGGTTTCGGCCGGCTCGATGCTTCGACGGTCGGGTGCGGCCGGACGCCTGCGTGGGCGCTGCTGTGCAGCCTGACGCGGCGGGCCCGATTCGATCTCGGCTCCGTGCCGCTGCGGCTCGATCCGGCGCACATGCCGACTCGGTTCGATTCCCCGATTTGAATGCTGGTTGATCCTGCCCGAGGAGGAGTGGTAGGAGGAGGAGGAGGAGGAGGAGGAGGAGGAGGAGGAGGAGGAGGAGGAGGAGGAGGAGGAGGAGGGGGAAGTGCACAACGAACCACAGTCATTAGCACAGCACAGGAGGGGGAGGAGGAGGAGGGGGGGGAGAAGGAGGAGGAGGGGGAGAAGGAGGAGGAGGAGGAGGAGGAGGAGGAGGAGGAGGAGGGCAACCGCGGGCTGTCATGGCGCCAACATCGCAGAGCGGATTTCGTCCATCGGAAAACCATAGGATGAGCCAGGAGTGTCCTGGAGAATTTCGTCTCCGATTTCGCAGTAAATTTCGTGCGGTTTTTTGTTGGGGGGGGCCAGGAGTGAAGACTCAACAAGTCCACGCGAAGTTCACATCGTTTTTCACTCGCCTCGTCGGGGTTTTGCAGTGACAGAAACCCACGTTCAACATCCGCTGCAGCACGTCGTCAAGGTCGGTGCAGTGACTTCTGTGCCCGTTCGGCGTCTGAGTCCCTCTGCTCAGTCTGCGGCCGCTGAGCACGTGCAGGCAGCCGAGGGGCCCCCCTGGGCAGTTTGCCCCACTCGGCCGCCGAGCGGCCTCCGTCTTTAACCCAATCGCATCCTCCTGCTCCTCCTCCCCCTTCTCCTCCTCCTCCTCCTCCTCCTCCCTCCTGCTCCTCCTCCTCCTCCCTCCTCCTCCTGCTCTCCTCCTCCTCCTCCTCCCCTTCCTCCTCCCCTCCTCCTCATCTCACTCCTCCTCCTCCTCCTCCTCTTCCTCATCCTCCCCCTCCTCCTCCTCCTCCTCCTCCTCCTCCTCTCCTCCTCCTCCTCCTCCTCCTCCTCCTCCTCCTCCTCCTCCTCCTCCAGCTCCCGCCGATGATCGCACGGGCGCTGCTGCGCGTCCTGGAGCGGGGCCGGCCCGTTTCGATCTCGACTCCGTCGAAATGCGGCCCGACCCAATGCACATTCCGGTCCGACCCGTCTTCCCGAGTCGCTGTTGCTTGATCTTGGAACGCGGCCGAGGAGGAGGAGGAGGAGGAGGAGGAGCAGGAGGAGGAGGAGGAGGAGCAGGAGCAGTATCGAGGAGGAGGAGGAGGAGCAGGAGGAGGAGGAGGAGGAGGAGGAGGAGGGGGAGGACGGGTGGGCGGAGGACCTCCAAGATCTGCCCCATCTGCCCCCACGTCTTCTTCGGCCTTGCCTCCGCCCTCCGCTTCCCCATCCACGGCTGCCTCCTGAGACTGGTCGGCGCACAGTCCTGCTCGGCGGCCGAGCTGGCTCGGACGCCGAACGGACTCAGAGGGGAGCCCTCGGGTCCTCCCGCCCTCCGCTCCCCTCCCCCTGAAGTGGGTCGTGGTTTGGAGTCTGGGCCGATCCGCAGGATGGTCGCGCTGGCGCTCTGGGGGGCCCTCTGAAGTCCCTGCATGGGGCCTCCTGTGCAGTCGCTGGGCTCTTTTCGGAGCCTCGATCCAGCGGCCTGGTGGGCCGTCCTGGAAATAGCGAGAACACGGACATCCTTCAACACGGCAAGATCTGTTTGGTTTTCTGCTTCTAGAGTCTAGAGGCCATTTGGGGGTTCTCTTAAGGTACCCTTGCGGAGCATCGGGAGCTTCTTGGGCAGTCTCGAGGCCATGTTGTTTCTGCTTCAGGGCTTTTCGGCGCGTTGTGGAGACCTTGAGCGTCGTTGAGGGCATCTGCGAGTCGTCGGAGGGTGCTTTCTCAGGCACTTGGGGCCCGGGAGGTGCGCTGATGAGCTCGTCGCCCAGCATGACATTCCCCTCCCCTCCCAAACATGTTCCTCGCGGAGGGGAACGGCCCGACATCGCACGCGCCATTCTCACCCCTGGCAGGCAGGGGCTGGTGGAACATCAAGAGGCGTTGGAGGGCGAGGAGGCAGGCCGGGAGGGAGGAGGGAGGAGGAGCAGGACGAGGAGGACGAGGAGAAGGGATGAACGAGATGGAGGAGGAGGAGGAGGAGGAGGAGGAGGAGGAGGACGAGGAGGAGGAGGAGAGGATGTGACGATGAGGAGAAGGATGACGAGGTGGAGACGGTGGAGGTGGAGGAGGAGGAAGAGGAGGAGGAGGAGGAGGAGGAGGAGGAGGAGGACCAGGAGGAGGAGAACGAGGAGAATCAGGAGGAGGAAGAGGAGGAGGAAGAGGAGGAGGAGGACGAGGAGAACGAGGAGGAGGAGGACGAGGAGGACGAGGAGGAGGAGGAGGTGGAGGGCGAGAAGGACGATGAGGAGGAGGAGGAGGAGGAGGAGGAGAAGGATGAGGAGGAGGAGGAGGAGGAGTCCGAGAGGGAGGAGGCTCAGTCACCATCGGCCGCCTCCCGAGGAGGGAGGAGGCGCGGGGTCTTCAGACGCGCGACCCCGCGATATCCTGCCACGCTCAGCTAATCTTCAGTTGGGCCTGTCCCTCTACAGGAGGAATCTTCACAAATACTTTGAAACATAGTCTGGGGATGACTTTTGACAAGTTTTGCATATTTTTGGCGCATTCGTGTTTTTTGTTCTTCCATTTTTCGTCCAAACTCCGCCTGTAGGAGGACATGCTCGACCTAACCTTAGCTATTCATGGCATTGTCCCACCCGGTGCCGCTTCACCTGGCTTCCCTGGGGGTTTGACGATTTTTCGTCAATCGACCTGCTGGGAATCGGGCCAAACAAATCAAGGCGAGTGCAGGTAAATCGTGGCACATCCGCGTAAAGTCTGGGTATGTCCAAATCGCGGTCGCTCTAGCGGGAAGCAGAAGCTTCTGAGCCTTGAACGAGCCGAATCGGGCTTAGTCCTGAGCTTCATTATCTGGGCTGCCGCTTTCATCTTGGCATCGCTCGGACGTGTGCATCATTTCTTCGGCGAGGACCATCGAGGAGCAGGCTGGACCATCTGGCAACAACAACACGCACGAGACCGAAAAAGGCACCGGGATTGGATGTCCGAGCGATGGCAAGTCTTGGCCCTTTGACATTTGGCCTGCGAGCCTTTTTAACCGTTCTGTTCGATGCTCGTTTGGGGGCCCTTCCTGGGTCACACCTGGATCTGTTCGACTCCAGTTCGATTCCAGTTCGACTCCAGTTCGACTCCAGTTGGACTCAAGTTCGACTCAAGTTCGACTCAAGTTCGACTCGGGTTCGACTCAGGTTCGACTCAGGTTCGACTCGAGTCGACGGACGCTCGACGCAGCTTCGACGCACGAGCGGCGCAAGATGGACTCCGAAAAAGGTCCCCAGAGTGAGCATCGAAGTTCTCGCTAAGGCCTCCTGGGATCTGCCTCCTTAGCACCGCCCACCGAGCCTGAAGCCCGGCACGTCCCTCTGCAGGAGGAACATTCGAAAACAGCAAAAAATATGCAGGGGACGATCTTTGGACTATCTTTGACGATTTTTGCTTAGTTTTTGAGTATGTTGTATTTTTCGACCAAAATCCGCCTGTAGGAGGAGGACACGCCCGACATACTAGCTGCCCCAACCCAACCCGAAGGCCCCGATTTGCCCTCCAGTTCCGGTCGGGGGGGAGATCGGGGAACATTGAACAAACATTGAAATCCGTATCCCCCCAACCCGAAATTCGGAACGACGGGTCGGGTTGGGGCGGTCTGGCAGGCAGTCGCTCGAACCGCTCTTTCGAGGGCCTCCTGGAACCTGTCCCCGCAGCGAGTCGGGCCGGGGCGCGGGGTGCCTCCGCGCGCCGCTTGGGCAGGCTACGGCAAGGCGCAGGTCCTCGGGAGGAACTGCCGGTTCCTGAACGAGGCGCCACCCCAGGGCTCATTTCTCGGCACGAACGGGATGGGTACGGAAAGAATGGGTACAATGCCCAACAGCAGTTTTGGTCATTTTAGACAGGACTCGCTGTCCACGCCGCCTCGGTCTGTATCAATTCGAGACAGAAGGCCGCCTGCCCAACAGCGGCCGCTGTTGGTTTGGGACAACATTTGTTGTTGGGCATTGTACCCATTTTTGTCCGTACCCACTTCGGGCGTCCAAACTGTCGATTCCTCCGATCCGATTCGGTTCGATCTCGGTGGCTTCCGATTCGTCTTCGAGTCGACTTGTGGATTCTGGTGCGGGTTCCGATGTCTCGCCGGAGGCCTACTGGCCTGCCGATGTCTGCCGACTCGAGTTTTTTTCCCGACTCGGCTGCCGAGATCCGTCGATTTGATTATTTTCGTTCGCCGATCCGGCTTATCGATTCGATTCTGGGCTCTCGTGCCCCCCCCGGCCGAGCCACCCACCCAGACCCCCCCCGGGGAGGCATGCCAGAGATCACGGCGGCGGGCTTTTCCGGCCTCGGGGGGCCTTCGCCAGGCTTCGGGGCCGTCAACAAAAACGACTCAGGATGAATCCTCCGGTCCCGGGGGGAAGGGGTGGAGACCTCCGGAGGTCGACGTTATGATTAGGTCGGGCATGTCCTCCTGCAGGGGGACTGTGGAAGAGCAGTGGCAATGCTTCAAACATATCCCAAAAGAGGTAAACATTATGGAAACATCGTCTTCCGCTTAGTTTCTGGCTGTTTCTGAGGCGTCCTCCTGTAGAGGGACGCGCCCGACTTTAACGCTATAGCAGCAAAGAGCACGGCGTCGGGGGTCTGGGCAGCTCGACGCTCGGCGGCGAGCGACAGGGGGGGGGAAGGGAGAAGTACAGTCGGGGCGCTGAAGAAGGAACCCTTTTCGTTGGGGAGGGGCTCGGTGTTCTTTGATTGTTTCAAAGTTTGCCCCGGGTTCTCCTTAGGTTTTCCATAGGAAATCAAGGTTGAATTTATGGGAAAAAGGGGCCTCGTTCCGTATTTAGGGTTCCTTAGGTCAACGCCTCGACTGTAGACGGCCCCCCTCAGGCGGCGGCGGGGCTTCTCGGAAGCTTTCCTTCGTGTCGGGGAAACGTAAGACTCGAGTAGGCCGGAACTCGGGCTTGTCGATTTTTCTTGTCGAGCGCGTCCTACTTTGGCGGTCCCGCTTTCGTGGGATGTATGCAGCGGGAGCCCGCGTCAAATTCCAGATTGGGTCTCGTCATGAGAGCGCGGGGCACAGCATTGATCGTTCTTCCCCGCGGCCATTTTCAACCCTCAAGGTTTTTGCTGCGCATCAGGTGCGCACGGACCATCCCCGCGTGTGAATGCTCTGGGCCTTTCTTGCCTCGACCGCGTCTGTGCAGGTCGCGACCAGCAGTGTGGTCACCGCCTTCTCGGCCTGGGTGTTGCGCGGAGTCTTCTCTGACGCCGCGGAGGCCGCGCGGGCGGCGGGGAGGGCGGAGGTAAAGTGCCCAGGCATCCCGGAGCCGATCTGCCACTGTCACTGTCAGTGTGAGGCGCTGTCGGCTCCAAGCAGCGGGGGTCACCAGGCTTGGCAGCTCATCGTGTGCGTGCTGGTCTGCCTGTTCTTCTCGGTCGTGCAGGTGACAGTCACGTGCGTTCATTATGGCGCTGGTTGGGCTTCCAGTCGGGCCACCGCTCCATCCAGGTCCTCGAGTCCGGGGAGCGGACGGGTGGCCCTTGCCGACGGGACCAGGGGGAATGATTCTACGACGGGCGCTGGTGAAGTACGCGGGCGCGGGAGAGGATGTGTCACAAGAGCGGGTGTTCCTGAATGATATGGTAGGAGGGCTCGTCACAGTCGCGACCCCAGACTTCGACGTGTACGACAAGGATAAGAGCGATCAGAACGTGTTCGAGATGGTGAGGTTCCTTGGCGACAACGGGGAGCTCCCGCTCGGTCTTGGCGGAGCCCGCCTGTACCGCTTTTAGCAGCCGCCGACCGACGCGGAATGGGACCAGCTGCTGGCCGAGGCGATCGACGTCGTCGCCTTTCGCGGGGGAGGGGGAGCCGCGGGTGGCGCTGGCGGCCCGGCCGCCGGCGCCGCGGGCGCCGCCGCTGGCGGCGCCGCCCATGCGGCCCCCACCGTCGCGTGGGTGATCGCGGAGCATGTGGGCGGTCACAGCACCGGCGAGATCGTCACACTGCCCGCGGGCTCGGTCCAGGCGAACGGCTACGGGCTCACGGTGCTGCCCAACAGGCAGATCCCACGGCCCGTCTTGGTCAAACAGCTGAACTACTATCAGGCGGAGGTCGACGCGGTCTGCGAGGAGCGGATCAAGTGGTGTCGAGCGGCTACGGCGACTCACAGCAACGACCAAGCGGCGGGGGACGACGCGGGGACGCCGTCGGTGAAGCACGGGCCCGACGGGACTCGTAGGCGCGAGTTCAGGCAGCCAGCGCAGGAGATGACCATGACGGACTTCGACGACTGGCCGTTGAGCGGGGCTCGCACTACCGAGCGGGTGTGCCGCGAGATGGTCAAGACGGCTGAAGGGCCCCGGGCGCAGCGCTCGAAGTGGCTCTCGGAGGCGAAGATCCCCAATGGAGATCGGTCCGTCCACGAGGGCGCTAACCTGGCGCTGGGGCAGGAGCTCGCGGCGAGGTACGACGGGCTCAACGTGATGAATCTCGCGCGCATGGAGGCAGTTGCCCGCAGGCGCCAGTTGATTGCCGAAGCTCATCGCGCCAAGCCGAGCGCGCCGAGCTACGAGGGAGCGGCTCATTTCATGGGCGACGGGACGCGTGCAGGCGGAGCGCTGGTGTCACCGGCGCTGACGGCCCACGTGTCCGACCGGCTGCGGACGGAGGCGGCCATTTTGAAGGGGGGGCGCAAGGCGGCGGAGGCGCGCTCGCTTGCACCTGGTCGTGGCCGCGGGCGCGGCGGCAGAGGTGCTGGAGCTGGCGCCGACGCCGCCGGGGCTGGCTAGACTGCGGGCTCGGAGGCGCGGATTGGCTCGACCGCACTTCGCCGCTCCCCGAGAGCCTGCGTGCAGCGCGTGGAGGGCGGGCTTCGACTCATCCCGTTCGCCACGACTACCTGTTCTGAGTCATGGCTGAGCCGCGCAGCGAAGCCACTTTTGCTGAGGGGGGGAACGCCCCAAGCAGGTACCGCGATATCTTCGCATTGCCTCCACTCGCTGAGGGGCGACGAGGCGACCTGCGAGGGGTGCGCCGTTCGACGGCGCGACGCCTGACACGTCGGTGGGCTGTGGCCGCTGCAGTCGACAAGTCGGTGGACGCTCTCAACTCGATGTACCTTGGTGCTCGTGATGCGCCTGCCCCTCCTGCCGTCTCTGACCTGATGGCGTTGCCGCAGTGCCAGCGCGCTGCTCTCGCTCATCTGATGGGGCGGGTTCGCGAGCTGGGCCCTGAGCCTCCGAGGCTCTTATAGATCACCCAAGGAAGGGCTACCCTAGGGCTACCCCTAGGCTTACCCCTAGGGCTACCCTAGGGCTACCCCTAGGGCCTACCCCTAGGGCTACCCTGGGGCTACCCTAGGGCCTACCCCTAGGGCTACCCCGGGGCTGCCCCTAGGGCCTACCCCTAGGGCTACCCTAGGGCTACCCCTAGGGCCCACCCCTAGGGCTACCCTAGGGCCTACCCCTAGGGCTACCCTAGGGCTACCTCTGGGGCCTACCCCTAGGGGTACCCTAGGGCTACCCTAGGGTGTCCAGTAGGGCCTATCCTTGGGAAGCCTAGGGCCTTCAGTATGTGTAATCCGCCACACAAGCAAGCAATGCCTTTAATGTCCCGCCCGCCCGCCCGACAAAAGGAATCAGCTTGTAATCCGCCATAATAGTAATCAACTTGCAATCCGCTGCCAAATGGAATCACTTTGTAATCCGCCACGAAAGCAATCAATGCATTTAATGTCCCGCCCGCCCGCCCGACCAAAGGAATAAGTTTGCAATCCGCTGCCAAAGGGAATCCATGTGTAATTCACCACACAAGCAATTATTGCCTTCAATGCCCCGCCCGCCCGCCCAGGCAAAAGGCGCCCGACCAAAGGAATAAGTTGAAAATCCGCTGCCAAAGGGAATCCATTCGCAATTCACCAAACAAGCAATCATTGCCTTTAATGTCCCGCCCGCCCGCCAGACAAAAGGAATCAATGTGTAATCTGCCACAATAAGAATCAGTTTGCCATCCGCCACATAAGCAATCAATGCCTTTAATGTCCCGCCCGCCCGCCCGACAAAAGGAATCAGCTTGTAATCCGCCACAAATGGAATCTACTCGTAATCCGGTACCAACGGGAAGCAAGTGGTAATCCACCACACAAGCAAGCAATCAATGCCTTTAATGTCCCGCCCGCCCGCCCGACTAAAGGCATCAACCCTAGGATAGACCGGTGAGGGGGGGTCTGTGAGGGGGGTCAGCGAGGGGGGGTCAGCCCAGGGGGGGGTCCCAGAGGGGGGGTCGAGGGGGGGTCAGAGGGGGGGTCAGAGGGGGGGTCAGAGGGGGGGTCAGCGAGGGGGGTCAGCGAGGGGGGGTCTGCGAGGGGGGGTCAGCGAGGGGGGGTCTGTGAGGGGGGCCCCAGAGGGGGGGTCAGCGAGGGGGGGTCCCAGAGGGGGGGTCAGCGAGGGGGGGTCCCAGAGGGGGGGTCAGCGAGGGGGGGGTCAGCGAGGGGGGGTCAGCGAGGGGGGGTCAGCGAGGGGGGGTCTGCGAGGGGGGGTCAGCGAGGGGGGGTCCCAGAGGGGGGGTCTGCGAGGGGGGGTCTGCGGCGCCGGAGCCGCGGTCGCCGGGGGGCGGCGCGGGCGCCCTGCCCTCGGAAGGGGGAGCGGGGGGGGGGGAAGCAGGGGATCGAGGGAGTAGCGAGGGAGGAGGAGGAGGTGGAGGAGGAGGAGGGCGGCGGAGGAGGAGGAGGCGGCGGGAGCAGGGGGGAGGGAGGAGGCGGGCGGACGGAGTGAGGAGGGAGGAGGGAGGAGGCGTGCGGAGGGA